ATAATAATAATAGGGGGAACTTATTAGTAATCACTATTGTGATGAGGAAAGCTACATTCATGCAGCCACTGTAGGACTGAGAACTGCCTTTGGATCCCCCTTTTGGACTTTTTGCAGGAAACAGAAACAAATGCAATTATGATATATGGATCTGATGATTAGTAAAATGGATAGATTATAGAAATAAATGGATGTTAAGTTGTAATTTAGAGTAAGAGTTTCATGTACATTTTACTTATATCTGCTGTAAAGGAAGTTGGAAGTCATTCTTTTTTTGTATTTTTGTTTCTTTTTCTTTATTTCTCTGCACTTTTGCTTTTCTTTCTCTTTCTTCTTTCTTTTCTTCTATTCTCTTTCTTGATTATTAGTTCTTGTTAGTTTTTATCGTTATGTTTTTAAAATTTAATAAAGTTATTATTTAAAAAAAAGAGAACTGCCTTTGGATCCAAGCTAGGGATATCTGCCCACCTGTTTATCTAAGGCAAGAATTGGTATGGACATTCCCAATCATGCTGCAAAACAGATATGTTACTCGGTTAATCTGAATGCTAAGTTCTAAAAGTAGAAAACCATAGCAAACATTCTGCAATAGCAAATATTCATCACTCTGTCCCAAATTTAGCCTCAACATTGTTATAATGTCCAAGTGCTTCCAAAACAACTCCTACGTGAGTGTGGTGTAACACAAGGCAAACATTTTTCCCATATTCAACTTTATAAATATATAAACTTTCCTCTAGCATTCTGAAAACTATATTTCAAAGCCCTTTCATAAAATCCTTTATGAAAATATTTGGGAACTTTCCCCTTTGTCACTCGTGTCCCAATGAGACCTGCTCACTGGGAGTACCAGGAGGTGCAGTTTCAAAATAATCTGTGGAAGTCTTCAGGTTCAATTACAAAGACCCAACAGAAGAGAATATGTGTAGTTCAAGGTTGAACTGTGCAGTTCTTGGTGCTCTCTGAGCTTGGTTGTTTGCTTGCAGACGTTTCATTACCCAACTGGATAACATCATTAGAGTCACTGAGAGTCAAGACGATGTTACCTAGTTGGGTAACAAAATGATTGCAAGCAAACAACCAAGCTCAGAGAACACCAAGAACTCCACAATTACAAAGTTGTCTATGTCAAAACTATGCCAAAAGGAAATGAGAGATTATGTATCAGCTACAAGCAAACAAAGTTGTGTGACGCTGCAATTCATTTTTACTTTAACTCACTTAAGACAGCAGTACAGCACAGGGCCACATAGGGTAAGTACATTTCAAATTGATATTAGAAAATCTATGGATTCAGTCATAGAGAACACGAAGTATTCAGCCTACAAAAGTGTATGGAAAGCTAGTCTTAAAACATATTTTCTCTGAAATGGTAAGTTACATGAACAGGAGAAAAACCATAAAAAGGGGTGGGCACATATGAATCATACACTCTTGGAAACATGAAGCCATAAGTCATCTACTTTCATTACCCCAGATTCAGTCTCAGCTAAATTATTTTGCGATAATAATTGAAAGCAAAGGCTTTATGATTAACAACCCTGCCCTTAAACAGCAACATTACTCAGATGCTTTTCAACTTCCCTATCACCTTTCACAAATTCATCATACAATATATTTCTATTCAATTAATAAATTTATATCCCACCACTACTCAATAGAACTCAAACAGGCATACATGGCTCTCCCCATTCTTTTATTCTCATAGCTCTCCAGGGAAGCTGATTGGGGTGCAATTTAGTGACTGTACCAGGACATCCAGCAACTCTGTAGCCAAACAATTTGAAACCAGGTCTCTCCAATCCTATTTTGGCACTCTAGCAATGGTCTCATATTACAGAAGATTTCTGTTTGTTTCATGCATCTTTCCAAAATTCAATAATTTAAAATAAATATTTAATATCCACCATAATACATTCTTAAAATATTGTATCTTCCTTTTCCAACAAATGTACTAGATAATGATAATATTCTTATAGTTAACTATACTTCTGAATGGAAGAGTTTATTTGCTGAGAAATACCACATCAATTATTTCTCAGGGGAATACCTGAGAAACTGGGGAATACCACATAAATTATTATGCTCAGGGTGGAACCTTCCTTACAGTATCCTGAGAATTCCATGATCAAAGGAAGCCACATTAAAAGGACCAGCTAAGTTCAAAGGGAGAGATCAAACTGGCCCCCTGGGAAATACTCCTTTTTCTTTGTTTCCTGTATGTTATAAAGATACAGACAGTGATTGTCCCAATGCGCTTAGATTTACTTGCTATCCTGGGTGCCTATAAATGAGACTCCCTTTGCTAGAACTAGATTGTTTTCTTCTACTGTCAGCTGCTGTTTGCATGGGGCTGCAACCTTGAAGTGCGTGCTGGACCTTTTTTGCTCCCAAGAAACCTTCTTACAGAAGCTGAAGTGTGGCAGTAGAAAACATATGACTACTGAAATGCCATAATAATTTTCCATAATGGCAAAGATTGATTCGGTCTTTACAGCATATTAGACTTAAGTACAGTAGAAAGTTATTTTCTATATTTCCATTTCACCGGATTCTATGAGATCAAATTTCTAATAATTTCTAAAATATAATAAAAATTTACTTACCGTCTTCAGTAGGATTGAATCCACAGATATCACAAATACATCGAACCCACTTATTCATCTCCTCTTCGCTGTCAGCAACTAAATAGAAGACTCTGTCTATTGTGTTTATGTCAAAAATATAGCTGTTTTCAAATTCTTTTTTGTTAAATGTCAATCCAGCATCCACTTGTTGACACAAATTCAAGTCAATGATACGAATTGGTTTCTTGGCATGGTCATTTTTGTAGTATTCCAATACATCTGGATCTCCTGTCAACCGACCGCTGCGGAGCACAAACCATCTTCTTTTCCATGCCTGCAGGATGGAGAAAATATCCAGGTACTTTATATGAGTGTGTTATTGAACCAGCACAGAGTACACTAAATATGTATTTGAAGATATAAAATTATATTCTAAATCAAAATCTTTGGAATTCAACTGAATCTATATAAAAAGAAAGTGCAGTAGTTAAGAAGGCCAAACTAGTTGGCATACAATTTGGAATACAAGTAAGATTGCATATTATTAATCTTCTAGCAGCATACAAAATAGTTGGAATTATCAGTATAAAGCCTAGTCTGTTGACTGTTGCCTAGTCTCCTCCTCCTCCTCCTCCTGTCTTTCAAGGACATTCTCACAGATCATTACAATTATTGAGTGCCATTGAGCTCTGTACTATCTATAGTGATCGCCAATATGATTTTCCAGGGTTTCAGCCATCCCTACCTGAAGAAGCTAAGTCTTTTAAGCATCTACATACAGTAGTGCTTAAAGTTTGTGAACCCTTTTGAATTTTCAATATTTCTGCATAAAGATGATCTAAAACATGGTCTGTTTTCTACACAAGTCCTAAAACTCAATAAAGAAAACTCAATTAAACAAACGAGTCAAAAACATTGATTTATTGAGGAAAATGATCCAAAGCTACATATTTGTGTATGGCAAAAGTATGTGAACCTCTAGGATTATCAGTTCATTTGAAGGGGAAATTAGAGTCAGGTGTTTTAATCAATGGGATGATAATCAGGTTGAGCATGGAAGGTCCTGGCTTATTTAAAGAACAGAATTCTGGGTCTTCACTATCAAAGCCTGATCTTCACAACACAAGTATGTGGAAGTGTGTCATGGCTTGAGCAAAGATTTCTGAGGACCTCTGAAAAACAGTTGTTGATGTTCACCAGGCTGGAAAAGGTTACAAAATTATTTCCAAAGAGCTTAGACTCCACCAGTACATTGTCAGGCAGATCAAGTACAAATGGAGGCAATTCAACATCACTGTTACCCTCCTCAGGAGAAGTCAACCAACCAAGATCACACCAAGAGCAAGGCTTGTAATACTCCAGGAGGTCTCAAAGAACCCCATGGTAATGTCTAAGGAATTAAAGCCTCCCTTACATTGGTGAATGTCAGTGTTCATAAGACTACCATCAGGAGAACACTGAACAACAATAGTGTGCATGGCAGGGTCGCTATTGGAAGAATGTTCTGTGGATGCAGGAGACCAAAATAGAACTTTTTGGCTTGAGTGAAAAGTGTTGTTTGGCAAAAGGCAAACACTGCATTCCAGCATAAGAACCTTATCTCATCTATGAAACATTGTGGTGGCAGTATCATGTTTTGGGCCTGCTTTGCTGCCTCTGGACCAGGATGGCTTGCCGTCATTGATGGATCTATGAATTCTGAATTGTACCAGCAAATTCTACAGGAAATGTCAAGGTGTCTGACTGTGAACTGAAGTTCAAGAGGAAGTAGGTCATGTAGCAAGACAACAATCCAAAACACACAAGTCATATGACCAGAGAATGGTTAAAGCAGAAGAAAGTTAATGTTTTGGAATGACCAGGTCAAAGTCCTGATCTTAATCCTAGAGAAATGTTGTAGAAGAACCTGGAGTGGGCAGTTCATGTGAGGAAGCCCACCAACATCTCTAAGTTGAAGTTGTAAGGAGGAATGGGCTAAAATTCTTCCAAGCCAATCTGCAGGACTGAACAACAATTATCAAAATGTTAGTTGCAGTTATTGCTCCCCAAAGGTGGGGGGAGGCATACCAGTTACTAAAAGCGAAGGTTCACATATTTTTGCCACACACAAAAATGTAGCTTTGGATCATTTTCCTCAATAAAAAATGAACAAACTTTTAAGCACCACTGTACAAACATGTAGTCTTCCACTGAGTTATGGCCCTTCTTTGGTTAAGCTATCCAAGCAGAACTTTTTCTTAACTAAGCTTTTAAGTTTTACCACCAAATATGAAAGGACAAATTTTAACAGTTCAGTTTTCAAGCTACATTAGGGTAGCCTGACTGATGCTCATAAATAATCCTTTAAATCCAGTACATTAACCAATTATTATTCAGAAAAACTATCAGCTTTTGATATTCTATATAACAGAATAATTCCTAATTTTCTTCCATTAGAGTAGAAAAACTATAGCTCTCGAGATATTGTATGGGTGCTAAGACAACAGGAGTTGTAACCATCAATATCTAGTTGATCACAGGAGTTTCCTAACATGGTAAGCATTTGGTAGGAACAAATGAAGAACAGGAAATCAATGTAAATGTGAAAAGAAGGTGTGCTATGATTTGTACAGTAAGGTGGCTGTGACCTACACAGTACAGATTTGGAAGTTTGTACGTTTACTTGAAGTCTTCTCTGTATTTCAGTGCTAACAGAGGTCCTCTGTTGGAGTAAAACATTGCTCTCACTGCAGCCTGCTTGGTAAATTGGTAATATAAACAGAACTTGTTTATAGTCCTACATGTCACAAAACTTTGCCTTTAGACAACTAACACCTGCTCCTATATCTCCCTTTTATCACTCCAGAATACATCTTTTTCGCAGAGTGAAAATGGGAATGTTTATTTCAGTTGCTTAATGAGTCACTCACTGAAACTGGCACAGACTGTCCTCAAAAACAAAAGCAATTTCACAAACTACACACTAATAAGGCAGACACAAAGGTTCTCTGGATTATAGCACAAAAGCACAATTTAACAGCAGAATAAAGCTTGAAGCTAGACAAGAGACCTGACATCAGCACGCGCGCTAATCATAGTACAATGGCCCTACTATGTTTCATCAAACTGCAAAGGGAGTCCACATAAATCACTCTTTGTTATCTGAAAATATCTGGGATTCTTGAAGTACGTTCTATTTTTAACATTTTAATATTGGCTGCCTGATAGAAGCTGTATATTGCCTTACTGAGAAAAACTTCAGAGGATCATGGTGCAGAATGAAGTGAAAAGCACAGCGCTGGTTTTTAGATCCAAAGTACTTGGTTTGTATATGAATAAGAATTTATTATTTTCTTTTTTCCATGTTGAGATTCTTTGATTCCCTTTAACAGGTGGGACACCTGATGTTAAAATCTTCAGGAATACACTTGAAAGGCTTGGTCTTTGTTACAGAAATATCCTTACTATAATGAGCAAGTATCAATTTTCAAGCTTTTTTTTTAATTCTTGTTAAAACAGAATAATAGAACTGCTGAAACCTAACCAGAATTTGAGTTTGTACTGCAGGGATTGCCCCATCAGCCCTAAATCTGAAGAGCAGGGTGCTAGAAAGGAAAAATTAAGCATAAGAAGGAATGAGCTACAATTGTAAGCATAAAAGATTCTGTGTACGATCTTATGCATGCTTTCTTAGAAATTAGGCTCCCTGAATCAGTTACAATGTGCTGTCAAGAATAATGTGCAGGATTACAGCCACAGAGCCCCAAAGCATTTAGAAGGAAGAGTTCAGCAAGATTTACTTTCAAAGTTACTTTGCACAAGATTACCACCCCAGTGCCTCATTTCTGTGTTTCTTTTAATTAATCACCAGTGGATAAATTTTTTCTACTTTTTCCTTAATTAAATTTAAAAACATTAATATTACAAGGCTTCCTATTTTTTTAAACCTTTGATCTACTGCAATCCAACTTAATGTTTCAACTGATTCAATACTTGCCCTATTCAAGGATTAAATCGACCAATTAATAAACATGTAGAACAAAAGTACGATATCACCTAAATGTTGAGGAAATATTTAATGAATAAATATGAAGGTTTTTATATCATAGCAGCTTCCATGCATGCAGGAGGCTTTTATCAGATTCAGTCTCCAATGGACGAACAGTGGAAGCAGACCACTGTCCTACTCCATAAGCTCTTCATTCAAATAAATAAGCATTTTCACACAAAATTTAGCTCACAAATAAATAATTTAGCACACAATTATCACTAGAGAGAGCTATTTACTGGCTTGCCACACAGATAAACTACTTAAAGCGTTAATTGCTCAAGCATCAGTTGTTCAGTTGTAAGAATATATCTTAACTCCTTTTACAAAGTTTTCATAAACAAGCACAGAAAATATTAGGTGCATCTTCAGTTACTATTACCCTGCCCCCCCCCACCAAAAAATGCATTAACACTTTTTAAGAATTGTTTTCCAGGAAGCACCATCTTTTCACACAAAGAAAAATAAGGAAAAAACAGTCTCAGTGGAAGTTTCCACTCCACCAGCTATCATCCTGATTAGCTGTTCGAAATACACACATGGCCAACGTTTCCTGTTTTCAATCTATTGTCACCATTTGCCAGTTCTGCATTGGTCTGTTCTAACTTTAGCTTACTTATACAAACAAAAACACTGAAAACATAATGTAAATGCAAAAGTGCTTTTTGTTTTGCAACTTGCAACTTTTTTTTACTCTAAAAGGGGAAATTATAAAGAAAAATAGAAAAGCATAGATTTGAAACATTTTTTTAAAAAAAGCAGGTAAAGCTTTGAACTGCTTGATAAGATTGTGCCTGAATTGTGCATTTAATAATTACTATTCTAATATTCTAAACTGAAATAATATGCTATTTAGTTCTAGAGCAGCTCTCTGTATATAACACACTTCAGAAGAATGTCAAGGTTACTTGGCTGTAAATTCTGGGAGTTGCAGGTCCCAGGTATCTGTACAGTGTTAGATTTGATCATATAATGAAGAACGATTGCATTGACCATTTCAAGCCAAAGTAATAAAGTAATAAAATGGTACTGACTCCTGGCTGCATTGCCCTGCGGCATTTGCTCATGCAAAATACAAAGCTTTTTGAAGAAGCTGCACACTGCACACATTCACCTTCCACACGAAGAACAATCAAAGGGTCATGCTCTCTTCCACTCTTATAAAACTGTAATGGCATGTGGGAATAGACTGACTGAGCTTTAAAACTGCAATACAAATAGCATTATCCATCTTGTTAATCTAAAAACGAAGATAAATAATTCTAGCTTATAGCCTTGTTGAGATCTAACAGGGTTCCAGGGTTTCT